CAGCCCAGAACTGTGTTGGCTTTTTTGGCAGCTGCTGCACACTGCTGGCTCATATCTAAATGGTTGTCCACTAGGACTCCAAGATCCCTCTCACAGTTACTACTACTACAGTACCTGTGCATTTTGTTTTTCTTCCCTAAATGTAGAGCCTTACTTTTTTCACTGTTGAATTTCATTTTGTTAGATAGCGCCCAATGTTCAAGTCTGTCAAGATCCTTCTGTATCTTGAGCCTATCTTCTGGAGTGTTGGCTATTCCTGCCAGCTTGGTGTTACCTGCAAATTTGATGAGTTCCCCATCTATTCCCTCGTCCAAGTCATTGATGAAGATGTTGAAGAGCACTGGGCCTAAAACAGAGCCCTGGGGTACTCCACTGCATACTTCCCTCCATGTAGATGCAGTTCCATTGAGGACTACAAGTTTGAATGCGGTTAGTCAGACAGTTATGAATCCATCTGGTGGTAATGCTGTCTAACCCACATTTTTCTACTTTATCTAGTAGTAGGTTATGGTCTACTTTATCAAATGCTTTACTGAAGTTAAGCACCTATACCAGTTAAGCACCTATACCAGTGATGGCTAATCTTTTTGCCATCACGTGCCAGAAGGGGGGTCCGGGGCATATGTGTCACGCATGCGGGTGCCCACACCCATAATGTTATGAGCCCCGCCCTGCGCATGCATGCACGACCACCCCCGCTCCCCCCACTCCTGGCACATGATGGCCCGGTAGGCTCCTTTTTCTCTCTCACCTGACTCCAGAGCCCTTCTAGGAGTCTGGGAAAGGTAAAAACAGCCTTTCCCACCCCACTGGAGGCCAGAAATGGCTCGTTTGCCAACTTCTGGTGGGACCGGAAGGCCCGTTTTTTTGCTATCCCCAGCCTCCAGAGCCTCTCTAGGAGTCTGGGAGGGTAAAAATGGCCTCCCCCCACTGGAGGCCCTCCAGAGGCCAAAAAGGGTCATTTGCCAACTTCCGGTCAACTGGTGCCAGAGGTTTGCCATCACGGATCATACTTTGAAGGAATTCTATACAAGTGATAGTAAGTCAGCAGACAGTTTAATGATCCTTAAAGTATAAAAAAATCCCTGTCTGCCAGTAGTTCATGCTATATATGCGAACAAGAGTTGATATAGATAGTGCTTATTTCTATAATGCACATCTATGAATACTACAGGGAAAAAAAATGCAAAGATAGGATAAGAAAAAGTGAAACTTAAACAAATTAAATGTATCATTAGCGAACTGATCAGTGAAACCTGCTGATTGTTGTTGCTGGCATTATTACTGCTATTATTTAAAAGCATTGTCATTATTTCAAAAATAAATTCATTTCCCAAATTTTAAGTTATAAAAGTGAAATTTATATATTTTTTCTAATGCCTTCTTCATCATGACTGTACATACAGTTTCCAGCTTTGACCAAAATTAGTATGCCTTTAATAGTATACAGTGCAATATACACTGAAAAATAGATATATAGCCAGGAAAACAAAATGGGACTCCTTTCACTTCAGTCTGGCAGAATTAAAGTGACTGGGTTATAAAACTGTGATTAATTACAAAGCAGTACATCAATAACTTTTGATCTGTTTTCCAATACATGTTTCCTCCCCCACTCCTGCTCCCTTCCTCAAGAAGAGGGAGATTAAAGTGTTTATCAGATTTATAAAGACTTACTATATCAGATGCAAGACTACTCATCAAAAGTGTATAATTTAATTTAAAACATTTGTCAGTATCAGCACATCTGCTCAATTAGAAATGCTACGACTGACATTTTACTATTCCATTTAATTTGGTAAAAGAGTGTTTATATATCTAAATTATGGAGCCTTGAGGTACGTTAAAAGAAGAATATTGGCTGTAGTGTTACAATTATGTGTTGATTGTATCTTGGAAAAAAATAGGAGTATTATTGCAAGGAAAACAATAATATATACTAATTTTATCACAACCAGACAGATTGCACTGATTTTCTTTAAAAATTTTACATCAGTTGAAGTGCTTATTTTTGTAGGGTGGATTCTCTTAAATTAATAAAGTTAAGGGCTAAAATCATCAAATAACCAGTAATATTGTTCAGCAGAGTATAATAGACCACAAATTGGAACTACGGTTCTTTGCTTGATTACAGACTCACGACTTCTATCATTATTACAAAGCCATAATAACCCATTTTTAGTGCTGATTTAATAGTTATTACAAAAAAGGACAGCGCTTTTGCCTCCTTGAACACCATAATCTTAAACCAGTTCAACTGTGTACAAAATTGCAGGCTTTATTTCTTACAGGCAATTATTTTGGGAGCGTACACAAGCAACATTCTCTTTCTAAACATAATAGCAGCATTTCTGTTGCAGTATCAGTAGCTTGATAAATGAATCAATGTAATGGAGCACGGAAGGAATGGGGAAACCTCACAGCAGGAAGAGGAAGTAAAACAAAATATGTTCACTCGGTTTTCCTTATTGCAGCTGTTCTCTCTAGTTCCATAAAAATCAATGAATTGGTGAAACTGATTAAACCACATGCAGTTCTTGGTTAGCTTCTCTCATAAAAGGAAGCTTTATATGTTTGTCTATAAAATGCTACCCAAGCATATATGTGCCTAGAGACTACAGACACATGATAAGAGTTGGGTTGTTGAAACTAAGCAGAGCTTGCCCTGTAAGATAACTGCTGAATGGGAGAGTATTGGGGTTCTGCAGAAATACCATTATTTGCCCCGTGGGATTAAAATGGGTAATAAAATGCAAAAGCAATTAAAAAATGTATATGCTAGTTTCAAAAAAGAACAAAAATACGGAACAAAAAATTAGCTGGATGAAAAGAGAACACATACAGAAAGGAGGCTTCAACAATTGAATAGGCAACACCAAACATTCTTCAGAAAATAAAGAAATAAACTAACATAAAATTGTATTGATAAAGGGAGAACAAAGTTATTAACATTTGGGTGGCTTTACATTCTGGAATAGTGTGGTGCAGTTAATTGCAGTTAATGATATTTTCTAGTCTTGCTCCCAATCAATTACAGAGGATTGTCTTGAATAAGAATTTTGTATTATTTATTTTGCAGTGCTGTTTTGTTCACTTTTCTGCTTACTCTGCTGAGTGGTCTGTGGTTTGCTGGCACAAACACCTGCACTATTATCAGAACAATGCACATTTTCTGAAGAAAAGAGAGGCAAAAACAAATGGTTTTGAAACAAAAACAATGTATCCAGTTTAAGAGTTTTACAAACCTTGAACCATATGTGTGAACAAGAAATTCACTTTATTATTTTCAGTGAGTGGGTTTTTTTTTTAACACTATATTTCTGTAGATGAGAAAGGAATTTCTCACCTGGTATGAAACCTGAGGAAGAATAATTAGCATGCATAAAGAAAAAGAGTGTAATTGTGAGCATAAGGATTTTCTTCTAAAAAAGAAAATAACAAATTTGGCAATTCTATTTTTGAAGTACTTAATTCATATATGTCTCTGTACATTATATATGTTTTCGCATTATACAGTATATATTTCAGCTCCAATCCAGAAGCCCTCAAGCAGTCGCTTTGGCTAATTCAACTGCCTAACATGCAGGAAGCCCAAGTTCAAATCCGAGTAAGGGTATGGCTAGCTGATGAAAGCTAGAAAGCTTGAAATAGATCTATACTAGTCTCCCTTTATTTCTTTATCAGCAAAACATTTTATATATATATATATATATAAACTTGTGAATGAGATTTCACAGAACCAGGGCTGAAGAACATCATAGCTTACGTAGGTAAAACCTGGCTAGAAAGAATATGCATATATATATATATATATATATATATATATATATATATATATATATATATATATATATATATATATATATATATATATATATATATTGTTGTGGCCCCGCCCTCTGAGCCTGTCCCATCGGAGGAAGAAAGCTCCGAGCATGAGGAAGAGGAGTCAGCCAGGCCTCCCTCTCCAGGCCCCTCCCCTCTGGCACTGTCTCAGGTGCCGGCCGAGGGAGAGGAGATTAACAGAGAGACAGGTGGCTCGGATGAGAGCGGAGGAGAAACATCATTCCTGGACGCACGCCTCCGAAGGCGTGATAAACGATTGCAGCAGCTCAGGAGGCGTGCTAGGGATTAGAACTGAGTCACTGGACCACACCCCAGAGACTATATAATAGAGGGTGGTGGCCAGTGATCCTTGTGACGAACAAAACAAACCTTGGATAGTCACTAAAGCCTCGTCCGGAACTGCTGAGAGAAATATTATTCTGATTGGACTTTTTGTACGCTAAGTATCTTATCTTTCTGTTTTGTGGAAATAAACGCACTTGGCAGACGGTGTGTAAATCGCTGCCAAGTTGGAGATAAGACCTGGGTGTGTGCCAAAGTGTTTCCTTAACCCTCGGCTGGCTGTGTTTGTGTGTGTGTGTGGACGGGGACAGATATATATATATATATATATATATATATATATATATATATATATATATATATGTAGGTCTTTGGTTATTCGGGTCTTCTCCCACGTAAAATTGGAAGTGTCTTGGCGACGTTTCGACGAAGTCTCATTCGTCATCTTCAGGCTGGTGTTCTCGGCTTCGTGCTTCCAGGAGCACGAAGCCGAGAACACCAGCCTTAAGATGACGAATGAGACTTCGTCGAAACGTCGCCAAGACACTTCCAATTTTACGTGGGAGAAGACCCGAATAACCAAAGACCTACATACAAACACCCGCGAAATCCTCAGAAAACAAATATATATGTATGTATGTATGTATGTATGTATGTATGTATGTATGTATGTATATATATATCTGTCTCTCTCTGTGTGTATGTCTGTCTGTCTGTCTCTCTCTGTGTTTTCATATATATTTCAGGAAAGTAGCTTTTCAGAAATCTACAGGCAAATTTCATCATTTTTAAAACTTTCTAAGATCTACAAATTCACAGGTATCTTACTGGAACTCAGGCTAAGGAACTATCTGGCGAAGGTAATATCTTACCTTTTACTATCAGGTTCCCAGTGCTGCTGGCTATGCCAAAATGATTTGTTGCTATACATGTATAACTCCCAGCATCTGCTTTGGTAACATTGGCAATTTTTAGAGTTCCATCTTCCAAAATAGTATGTCTGTAAATGGATAAATGCAAGTAATACTTCAACAAATAGAATAAATGATGTATTTTAAAACAATGTAAACAACTAAGGAACAATTGGCATTTTTTATGGAAGTTGATAGGTAAGAATTTTCTGGAGGCTGCAAAGCATTGAGACACTATCAATTAAGAACCTTAAAATAGAAAATTGTTCTCTTAAAATGGAGAAGAATAGCTTACTTATTGTTGCTTAATTTGGATTAGTACTTCTAGATTATTACAGTAAATTTGTGATGCACATAGAGTGTGGTTGGCTTTAAGGATCACATTTAACAACAGAATCATGACTCAACAGTCCATTCTTTTTAACATGCTATAATCTATAAGCATTTTCTTCCTACACTGTGACTTCCAGTTCATAGAGCAATCAATTCAATTGCCCAAAAGTACAAGTGGCATTAATATTTATGATATCATTGGATTAAAGCCCAAAGGACTTCAGCTCCTGATGTGTGAGAGACAAAAGATATCTGCAAATATGATATGATAGACCCATGAACCAAGAGACGTTTGTTAGAATAGAAATGTAAGACTGAACATTGACTTTCTGGGAACCAGCAAACTGAGACGGACTGAAATAAATTGCTTCACATGAGAGTATTGGATCTACTGCAGACAAGAAAATAATAGAAGAAGTTGAGTAACTATTATTATTAACAAAAGAGTGTCAAAGTCAGTGATTGGATACACCCCCAAAATGATAGAATGAACTCAATTCAAGTCCAAGTCAAGCCAAACAAGATCATGACAATCCATTCAATGCTCTGAACTACAGATGCACAAGAAATGAAATTTGAACGCTTCTATGATGACTTGCAGCATTTTATTGATACAACATCAAAAACAGATGCCATGTTAAATACAGGCAATTAAAGTTTGAAGTGAAACAGCAAGTGGAATAATGGAAAAAACTGACATATAAAAAGAATCTGGAGATGGACTAATAGTGGTCTGCCAAGATCATTCAGAGTTTATGGTAAATGCCTTCTTTCCAAAAGCTAAGATTATTTTATAGTTGGACACTGTGAATGGACAACACCAAAATCAAATTAGCTGTATATTTTGCAAACAAAGATGGGAGATTGATTAAATCAATAAGACCTCTGCTGATTGTAGCTCAGATCACAAAGGTTTTCTACCAAAATTAATTAAGACCTATTCTACAAAACACCTGAAGGCAGGATAAGAAGTAATGGATGGAAACTTATCAAGGAGATATCTGACCTATAACTAAGGAGAAATATTCTGACAATGAGAAAAATTAATCAGTGGAATGGCTTGCCTCCAGACGTTGTGGGTGCTGCTGCATCACTGGAGGTTTTTAAGAAGAGATTGGATAGCCACTTGTCCAGAATGATAAAGGGTCACCTTCTTGAGCAAGGGTTCAACTAAAAGACTTCCAAGGATCTTTCCAACTCTGTTATACTGTTACTGCTGAATTAAGTTTTATTACAGAAAAAAAAGGATAAGTACAAAAAAATGGAAAGAGGAACACATAACTAAGGCAGAATATCAGCAGATAACCCAAATCTGCAAATATGAAGTCAGGAAAGTAAAGGCTCAGAATGAACAAAGACTTGCAACAAAAGTCAAAGATAATAAAAAAAATTCTTTCAACATATAAATAACAAGAAAAAAGTCAAGGAAACAGTGGGTCCACTAAAGACAAAAGATGGCAAGGAAGTAACCGGCAGTAGAGAGCTGCTTAACTCATTCTTTGCATCAGTCTTCATGCAAAAAGAAACTATAGCCCAACTTATCAAAAACATAAAAAGACAGACTAAAAATTAAAATTAAAATAAGCAAGAGAATGGTAAGAGAACGCCTGTCTGATCTTGATGAATATAAATCATGAATATAAAGAAGAGCAACTAAAATGATTAAGGGCCTGGAGACAAAAACATATGAAGAACGGTTGCAGGAATTAGATACGGCCAGTCTGGGAAAAAAAAAAAGGACTAGGAGTGACATGATAACAGTATTCCAATATTTGAGGGGCAGCCACAAAGAAGAGTGGGTCAACTTATTTTCCAAAACACCAGAAAACAAGACAAGAAACAATGGATAGAAACTAATCAAGGAGAGAAGCAACCTGGAATTAAGAAGAAGCTTTCTAACAGTGAGGACAATTAATCAGTGGAACAGCTTGCTTTCAGAAGTTGTAGATACTTCATCACTGGAGGTTTTTAAGAAAAGACTGGACTTCCACCTATCTGAAATGGTATAGAGACTCCTGCTTGAGCAGGGGGTTGGACTAGAACAGGGCTCTCCAACCTTGGCAACTTTAAGCCTGGTGGACTTCAACTCCCAGAATTCCCCAGCCAGCCAGCTTTTTTATTTTATTTTATTTTTTTATTTATATGCCGCCCTTCTCCGGAGACTCAGGGCGGCTTACAAGGTGTTAAGCAATAGCCTTCATACTTTTGTATATTTTATACAAAGTCAGCTTATTGCCCCCACAAACCGGGTCCTCATTTTACCTACCTTAGAAAGGATGGAAGGCTGAGTCAACCTTGAGCCTGGTGAGAATTAAACTCACAGTAATTGCAGGCAGCTGGAAGCTAAATACCACCTTTTAACAGTAGCATTAGTCTACTGCGCCACTCAGGCTCCAAAGCTTTGCTTTGCTGGCAGGGGAATTCTGGGAGTTGAAGTCCGCCAGGCTTAAAGTTGCCAAGGTTGGAGACCCCTGGACTAGAAGACCTCCAATGTCCCTTCCAGCTTTATTCTGATTGAAATCATTTTTCAGCTGCTATCACTTACTATTTCAAAAGTACTACAAAGAAGCAGTGTTCTATCAACATTAAAAGGCTATTCATCAAAATGTGCTACATTATATTGAGTTGGGGAACCTAGTCTTAACTAAGAGACAGTCATTTAGTTAACTTCTATTTCTAGATAAAAATATACATAATATTGTTCTTGAAGTTCTTAGCTTCAAGTTCTGAATTCTATTTTTCACCCAAACATTTATTTCCTTGGAACTAAGTCTAATATACACCACCAAATCATACCACTGAATGAATCTACTGTATTTTAATAAGTAAATAATATAAAAGAACCCCCATTCAAACTGATAGCAGACTAAAACCATTAACAAAATTTGCAGATATGAAATAGAAAATGTATTAACAACTGCCTAATGTATTATATTTGTTAATATAATCTATAAATGTATATTAATAGCATTTTAGTACAACATTGAGAAAACTATTTAAAATATTCATATAATAAATATTGATAAAAACAATACAACATCTGATATGATGGGAAGTCCTTTGACCCATGGCATATCTTCTAAAGTCCTTATTAATGCTAGCTACATGATTTTTATATGAATGTATTATTCAGGATTGGTTTTCTGGTGAAAATTCATTTGCTTATTTAGTAATTTTAAAATATCTTGGACAACAGACCATTTATAGTTTATTTTAATACCAAATGAACTATTTGTAATAGACTTTGTTGAAAAAACTACCCAGTTAATTTCCTAAGCAGTTAATTCTGCTTAGGAAATTAGTAGTTAATTAAGGAGTGTGCACACAAACATAAGCACACATTCCCAAAGGTATACACCTAATGTTATTCAGTATCTTCTTACTTTTCAGGAGCACAAGGCTATCATTTTGTCAGAAATGTCTGGTAGTGATTTCTTCAAGTTACAAAATGTTCACCACTCGCTTTCATTGCTTTTACACAATTTCAAAACAGATACATTTTATAGCTTTAATAATTATCCATTCCTTCCTGGGACTTGCTGTGAGGATGTTACTATATCCATTAATTCTACCTACTAACCTCTTTCCAAAAACAGTTCAAATTACTAGCCTTAACTTTTATCCCATAAATTGTTTGGGATCTCTTCACCTCAAAAAAAATTGATTCTGTAATATATAGGTGTTCATATCTAACATGTACCCATATTACCTTCAGAATTCCTTTTCCAAATGTCTTTCATAAATCAGGACTATTTAATAGGAAAGAGAAAGGGCCAATGTAGGGTGACTGCAAAAGAACAATAGAAAGAAGATGCCTCTATTATGAATTTGGGGAAAATGGACTACGTTAGGAGTCAACCAACCAGTTGTTCTAATTCAGGCCTGTCAAACTGGCGGGCATGCGGGCTGGATGTGTTACACGCAGGCCACGCCCACCCTGGCTCCACAAAGGCAAAAAAGTCATGATACATCACGTGACATAATTGAGTTTGACACCGTGCTCTAACTGTTTCCTTGAGGAGATATTGACTTGAAAGGGCAGGAGGAAAAAGATGGGATATCAGTCTTGGTATTTATATATATATATAGCACATACATGATTTCATGTTTGTTTCTTGCATTATGCAAAGCTTCTGCTCAAGTATTAGAAGAGATAGACTAGCTCAAGAAAGCAATTCCACTCTAAAGCTATAACAATATTTTACTGAATTAGGCTATAGTAACAGAATCTTGAAAGTTTCTTGCATTTTGCTTCTGTTCCTCTTATATTTCAGGAAGGAACTAGCCTAAGCTTATTCCCAATACTGTTTCTTTTTCAGGACTTAAGGAATGCTTTTGCCCATGTTGATTCTCTAATGTCTTCTGAATATTCCCTTGAAGGCCATATCCACTACTCTACAGTGTGTAATAATACTTCCTTCTTGTCTGCAATAAAGCAACATATTTTACACTGTTGGCTGTTAACTAATCAATGAATATGGGGTTGAATTTTGAGCAGGGATTTATTGCTATGCCTGGATAAAGCCTGACAGAGATGACAGGAATGTTCTTTGAGTTATTACCAAAGGCAGGCCAAAGTGGACCATAGTGTAAACAAGATGAACTCAACTCAATGGAACCTAATGATTTTTTGTTATACGATTTACTTATGCCACATTTACATTGGGTTTAATAAAATTTGTTCAGATTTTTAGTTGAATAATTTTTAATTATTTTAAACTTTATCATTAATTGGTTTAAATATTATTAAGTTCAC